GCTCCAGAAAGCTACAAGACCAGTCTCTGGAGCTGCAGGATTAAAGGTGACCACATCCACTCCAGTTTTCTAATAAAGATCAAGACTTCCAACTCTCCTGGTCACAACAACATTCAGCTGGGAGGTTCATGAGGTGATAAAGGCCAAGCACTTCAGCAACGCTTGGTGCGACAGACAGGATTTCCTTCAGTCTGGCTTCCAACAGCCCAGCTTTCCCAGCTGGTCCGTCATATGTCTGCAGAGGAAGCTCAGACCCCGGCTGGAGCTCAGTGTTGAGGGCACTACGTATACACCAGCACCCAGCCATAGTGCCCACATCACCCACAGTCCTGGGCAGAGCCACACAATGGCCAGGGTGGCTGCAGAGCTCCTCAGGAGCAGTTTCCCTGTCCTTGTTCCTGCCTCGAGTGCTGGCAGTGTGGTTGGCAGGGCAGCAGGCAGGACACTGCCCCACAGAGACTGTCCCAGCACCCCCAGTCCAGCCCCACACCTCCTACAGCCCAGCACAGACCAACCAGCACCCAACCATGACCCCACTGGGAACTGTCCAAGCTTCCCACAACCCTTCCTCCCCAAAACCCAAGCAGAGCAATGCTGGTCTGCAGAGTAGCCACCAGGACAGCAAACTGGGAATGTCCAACAAAGGAGAGGGTATGAGACCAAGAAATAGTCTATCTCCAGGTTCCTCCCTTCCCTTCAGGATCAGCTTTTCTCATCTCTACCTACCTGCCTGCAAGGTCACCCTGAGGGTCCTGGAGGAGCCCACTGGGAGGAGAAAGTGCCTCCAGCACTGGGGGAGGGTCCTGGTCCAGCCTCACTCTTTCTCTGCTGTATCCAGCCAGGAGCAGCCGAGGCTTCCTGTCACTGGTGACAGAGCAACCAGGCAATGTCGCATTCCCATAGCAGGGAGAAGAGCCAGACAACAGTATTATCTGCTCCCGGGATAAGAAAAGACTGTCTGAGAGAAGGGCCTACACAGCCTAACAGTGGTCCTGTCTGGTGTTTTACTAATCCTTCCTGTTGGAGAAAACTGAGCCCAGACAACAAGCTGCCACCAGAGCCTGCCAGATTCCATGGGTTTTGTGAGGTGACAAGACACAGCACATTTGACAGCATTCAACAGGGAACCAGTTTAATCAGATATTGGGTTTGCACCGTTCTTTTCAGTATCACAAGTTCTGCATTTTTCTAAGAAATACAAAACACTCTCGGGTTTACAGAACACTGGTCCTGGAGAAAACAAGAGGGAGAGAACAAGACACTCGGATACAGACACATCAACCACCACACTGGGCAGCAGAAAGCAAACTGCTCATCCCCACCTTGCTGATTGTAACAGTCCCTTTACAGGAGGCAGAGAGATCCCAGGGGGGCTGTGCTGCCACAGCAGGGCTGTGCCCCTCACCCATCCGAGGTCAGTAACCGTGGGACACCTCCACACCCCCATTAGCACACCAGCAGTGAACACACCGCTTCCACATTCCAGAGTGAAAACCCCCTTCCTAAAGCCAGTTGACAAGCGTCCAGGTTCATCTACTCTAGATCTAAACATTACACTGAGAGCCGGGGTAAGTTACTTCATCCACGAGATTAACAGCTGATTCCATAGGTCGAACACATGCTACTTAACAGCACATAAATAGGAGATGCTCTTTTTTTACTTAAAAAACACGTGATGAAGGTCTATGGTCGGGTTGCCTCGACACTGCCGCATGCACACGGGCTCACAGAAGCGGCTGCGCTGGGCAGCCAGGAAAGCTGCCTCTGCATCAGCTATTCCAGGGGTCACGGGACAGCTAGCCTGCCCCCATGCTCGCACACTATCCACACAGCCATTAAATAAATACAGTGCTAGCTAGGAGTGGGCTTTGATACAGGTTTTGAAAAGAAATATTAATCCATAGAGGGTTTACAGTTAACACATATCATCGTCACTTTATTTCTCAGAACCAGAAATAGTGCTGAACAAACAAACAAACAACAACAAAAAGGGAGACACAGGATATCATTTTCCAGAAGTGCAACCAGGGTACAGGGGAGCTCTCAGCGAGGCGAAGGGCTTCTGCAGCTGGGAGAGGAGGGGAGCCACAGCAGAAGATGGCAGCTCCCGCTCCCGGCGGGCGCCTGACCTTGCGACGCTCTCCGAGGGGATTTGTCACCGCAGCCTCCACCCCACCCTGCCAGCAGGACCCACGGCATGTGGGACCACCGAGCCCCCCAGCACCCACCGAGCCAGGGAGCTGCGGGGAGGTGACTTTGCAGGGGAGTACCCCAGAATAAAAGAGACCTCAAAATAAATAGGACCAAAGCTTCTTTACAGTAGGCGATGCACTAGCTTTACCAAGAACAAAACTAAGACTAACAGCCACTTCTTGCCAACGGAGAAACTTTTCCTCCTCTTCACATTTTCCAGCCCCCCGCTCTCGCAGCTGCAGTGCGGCCGGAACGGCATTGCTGAGGATGGAGGGGGGGGGCACGGCAGCAGCGAGTCCCATCCTCACACCAGAGCGAGCAGGGCCAGCTGGGGGGGCCCTGCACAGTCCCAGGGCTGGCAGAGGGGAGAGGCAGCCGGGGATACCCGTGTCCATCCCCACACCAGCCAAAACAATCCTCAGCAGCTCCCAGCAGCTCTGCACCATGACCCAACCATACAGCTCCAGATATCACCGCTACCAACAGCTGTGATCCAGCTGCCTCCTCCAAAACCACTTCTTCCAGAGGGAAGAGGGGCAGGGTGGGGGCACAAGTAGGGCCTAACCTCACCCATGCTCCCCCAGCACCCTGCCGCAGCCCAGGCCGGGGGGGCTAGTGGAGGGCTGGTAGGGTGCTGCCAGGGCTCACCACCCAGCCCGGGCTGAGGGGCAGGACGGGGAACCCCAGCCCCATCGGGAGGAGAGGTGAGGCAGTGGTGAGAAGGGAGCTGGGGGCAGGGGGACGGGGGGCAGCGCTCACTTCTTGGAGCTCTGCGTCTTCTTGGGCAGCAGCACGGCCTGGATGTTGGGCAGGACACCGCCCTGGGCGATGGTCACGCCGCCCAGCAGCTTGTTGAGCTCCTCGTCGTTGCGGATGGCGAGCTGCAGGTGCCGCGGGATGATTCGCGTCTTCTTGTTGTCGCGGGCCGCGTTGCCCGCCAGCTCCAGGATCTCGGCCGACAGGTACTCCAGCACCGCCGCTAGGTACACCGGCGCCCCGGCGCCCACCCGCTCCGCGTAGTTACCCTTCCTCAGCAGCCGGTGCACCCTCCCCACGGGGAACTGCAGCCCGGCCCGCGACGAGCGCGACTTGGCCTTGGCCCGCGCCTTCCCGCCGGACTTCCCCCGGCCCGACATGGCCGGCAGGCAGCGGCCCCTCGCCGCCGCCTCTCAAAGCAGCGCCGCGCACAGAGAGTCCCGGCGCCTGCGGGGAGACAAACGCCGTTACACCGCGCCGGGGCCGCGCCGTCCCCGCCCGCGCCGCGCCGCCCTTACCCGCAGGAGCCGCCGCCGCTCCGCCCTGCGCGCCGCCCGCCGCCGCACTGCCCGCGCTGCCGCCGCCGCGCCGCGGATATCACCTCCCGCCCGCCGGGCGCCGCGCCCCATTGGCTGCCGCCGCTGCCGCCGCGCCGCCGATTGGTCTCCGCGCCGATCCCTGATTTGCATAGGGCTCGCGGCGCCCCGGCCGTGCCGGCGACCAGCGCGGGCAGCGCCGCGGCTCTGCCCCGGCTCCGGGCGGGCCCGCTCCCCAACCCGCGGAGCGCTTTCGTGGCTGCGCCGCAGCCGAGGAGAGGGGGTTTGGCCGGAGCCCCCGTGGGTGTCCCGGCAGCGCTGCTCCTCACCGGTGCCCCGCTTGCCTTGCCCGAACTTGTGGCCCCCTCCCCGGCCAGCGGGATGCCTCTCCCGGGAGGATGCCAAAGCCTGCGGGCGGGGGGTGATGTTCCGGGGGAAAGAACCCCCCTCTGGGAAGAGCTGCCCGCAGCAAGCACTACCTTCTCTTGTGTCATCACGCATCAAAGGGGCAAGTTGCTCCCCAAACAGTTTTTGGGGACAGGTCACGCCGGGTGGATTGACTCCTCGCCAGGTTGCTACAAACAGCGTTCGGCAAGCAGCCAGGCTCCAGTTTAAAGATGATGTAGTTCAGCAATAACAACTCCTCATTAAACACTCAGCATAGGGGTTTTTTTGTGATGCTGCTGCTGGAGCTCACAGCCTGGAGGGAGATAATCTGTACCCTGCGTCTTTGCATCGCCCCTGACTCCCCAAGGGAAGGATTATGTTCCCCAGAACAGGGAAAGTTGAGCATCCCCAACTCGTGCTCAGCATCTTCACTCCCTCTACAGCAACTAGAGACCTGAAATGAATTTGAGATGAGCTAGTGACCTTTGGAAAAGCCTGATCTGCAGTTAGCACCGACCAGGCTAGGTCAGCTGAGCCGCTCATCTTGGAAAAGTGATGGCTGGGCAGGGAGAGAAACCTCCTGCAACAACAGGTACCACGGTGACAGCCCACAGCCTGAAAACCTATTTATTCTGCCAGGAACTGCTAATACAGTGATTCTCTTGCCTCAAGTCATGGTGGGAGCAATGAAGAGCCAGCTAGCAAGAGGCTTTCTGGCTAGAAGTCCTAATCCCATCCCTGCTTCCCATAAGCCAGGAAACCTGGGATCAGCTGCCTCCATAGCACGCGAGGGATTCAGAGGCAGATTTCGCTCCAAGAGCGCTCAGGTCTCCCCAGGTATCCATCCAGGGCTCCTGCCCTGGCTCTGCTATCCCTCCCCAGGGACAAGCCTCACCTACAGCCACCCCTGCAGCTCCCTAGGAACAGATAATTCAAAATAAATTCCCAAGGAGTATTTTCCACTGGCAAATGGAAATGCTCCAGCAACGTGGTCCTGCCAGTACCATCAGAGCTCAGCAGTGGGTAGATGGTCTTCCCCTCAGCACATGGAGAGGAGGTACAAGCTCTGCCTGTGAAAGAGGAGCACTGGGCAAGGGGGGACACAGCCAGGCACACAGACAAGGGCACTGCACAGTCAGCCAGTGAAGCCCATTTTATTGTTTCCAATACAAAGGAAGTACTGATTTCCAGCAAGGATTTCACCGTGTAAGGCTTTTGGTCTGTAACATCTGGCTGTGTTTACAAAATCCCTGACCTCAAAAACATGCTGCCCTATGCTGCTCTGTAATGGCACTTTGGTTATCTGGGCTTTAATGAATGACCTTTATGAACAAGGCAGAGTGCATCCCTCCACAGATCAAGGAAATCCTCTCTAAGTCTTCAAATCCCATTAACAAAATGACTGTACAAACAACGTGACTGAGACACACTGTCCCACCCCACTGCCCGTAGGGAAAGCCAAGCTAAGTGTAGTTCCTCCCAGGCACTGCCTAAACATCTCCCTGTTTAGGAGCCATGGATGTATGTGGCAATGCTGGTGCAGAGCGGGATGGCTCTGGCAGATCTTCCCAGCCTGGAGTTTCCTTATAATATTTACATCTTGTTTCTCTGTACTACAGCCATCTTTTGAGGGAGAGAGTATTGGAAAGGAATTTGTACAGAATCAGTGTGGAATTAAGTGGAAAAGAGGTATCGGTTTAATACCAAAAAAAGGGAAGAGAAAAGCAAACAGAAGGAGACCTGAACTATGAACGCTGACAGGAGGCAGAAGCTATTCCTCCCTGGCAGACTGAGATGCTTCTCAGGGCTTTATCTGTGTTTGGCACGAGTGACTGGCAGGGAGGGAAGCCAGCAGGTTATATTCACTCCCGTCAGCACAAGACAAAGACAAAATCTTTAAAGAAAAACACCAACTTTTAACAAAACACAAAGAACAGAGACAACAACCTAGAGCAGCGGATCAACACCTGAGAGGCAATCTCAACACCAGTCTGCAAAGCCTTCCAAAAAAACATGACTCACTCCACTTAGGAAAATCAGGAGGTAAAAGGATGGCCAACCATCCCAGCTGGTGCCTAAGCCTTGTGCTTCTTCGCAGCTGGCTCTCCCTGCTTCCCCAGCCACTGCTGCAGGATATCTGCACTGGTTTTCTTGGGCGAAGGGCTGTGGATGAACTGACTCTTCCACTTGGGCAGATCGTTTTCTTTCTTCTGGGGAGAGCCCTCCTGGGAGTTTTTTAACCAGCCCAGCAACACTTTGTTGCTTGGGGTGGCTTTGACCTCCTGGAGAGACAAAAGGCAGTGTGGGAGAGGTCAGAAGCGTGGTAAGAGCAGGGCACTGCGAGAGCTGGTCCAGAGCAGGATGTGGAAGCTGAGCAATGGCCCTGCCTGCAACCAGGCACATCTGCGGGAGGCTCCCCAGGCTGCTGGGGAACAGGCTTGTTCCAAGACCCGTTTCGCATGGAATTTGCCTCATTTGGCAGAGAAATCCTGGCACGAGGTGACAGTTTATTTCTGGAAGCGGAGGGAAGGGAATCTGTCCAGGGCTCTGCACTCCAGCATCAAGCACGGGCATGCCCTGCAGTTGCTGCCTGCTGCCACCCATCCTGCAGCCTGGCAGCTCTGTCCCAGCCCAGGGACACCACCATGACCGAGATCCCCCTTGCCAAGCCCCCACCAGCACCCACCTTCTTGGCTCCCAGCTCGATGGGTGCAACACACTCGGGCGTGTTGTTGCGGATGCTGTTGACAAAGGTGGACACTGGGTGGAAAACAATGTTCTCTGTGGGCTGGATGAGTTTAACAGCTTCTTGGGTTGGCACTTCAGCAAAGTCCAGCCATTTCCTGATGGCTTCATCCCCATCCAGGATGGCTGGCATCCTAGGGCATAAGACAGTTGGAGCTAAAACTCAGCACCGACACAGCAGTGTGTGGTGGCAAAAGCCAGACTTGTAGCTAGCAAGGAGCTGGCAGTCTGGGGGGGGAATGGGGAAAACTGAAGCAGCAGGATGCTCTTCTGCAAGGCAGAGCACACATTCGCTTCACCAAGGTAGCTGCTCTGCTGGAAGAGGCAGAGAGGTTGACTGCCAGGCTGTGGTCAGGCAGAAAGTGATCCAACTCCAGAGAGTGATCCAACTCCAACTGCCTCCCACAGGGCACAAAGATGGTGATTTATGGAAAGGGCATGAGCTGGTGACCCGAAACAAGCCGGTAATGTTGTAGTGTTTTTCTCTGAGGGCAGGAAGAGGAGGCAGGGCTCTCTGCCTGCATGCTGCCAGGCTGGTGTCCAAAGGTGCAGCTCTCCTCCTCCGCCCCCCTCTGCCCTGCAGCCCCTTTGCCTGCTCTCACTTACCTGTGATGGATGAAGCTCACGTCCTTGGAGGCATCCACAGTGATGATGGTGTAAGTGTACAGCATTTCCCCTCCCGACGGTGGCTCCCAGCAGTCAAAAATTCCAGCCATGGTGAGCAACCTCCATCCTTTCCACTCCTCATCTCCTTCCGTTCCCTCATCCTGCAGGAGAGGCCCCATCACCCCGGTCAGTGCTGGCCCATGGGCAACCAAAGCAGCACAGATTTTCCAAAAACTAATCTGAGGGCTTTCCAGGAGCCTTTTTCCCGCAGGGAAGCCATCACTCCCCTCCCCTTCTGAACATCCCAGCCACCAGCTCAGCCGAAGGAAAGAGGTAGTGAAACTCCCAGCCCAGTCCCCTGTGAGCCACATTGCCCACCCATGCAAATACCCAGCACGTGGGGAGCAGTGAGCGTGACGGCGGGGACGCCGCATCACCTTTCACAGCCCGGGGACCGCCAGCTCCAGAGGGATGCCAGAGTGCCGAGCCCACTGCTAAACACAGCCCTATTGGGAAAGAGGCTCCTAGAGATGTGCACAGCTGGAGGGAAAGGGGCTTTTTGCCAGGGAGTTGGCAGGAGCAGGGGCACAAGTGTTAAGACACAGCGAGGGACTCCATACCACGGCGTCCTTGGTCTGAGGGAAGTAAATGAAATACGGCTGCTTCCCCCCACTCTGCTGCTGCTGCCACTCATAGAAGCCATCGGCCAGGACCACGCAGCGCTTGCCCTTGAGGAGAGCACCCTGGGGAGAGAAAGCACAAGCGAGCGGTGAGCAGCAGCCTCAGGCAGCCTGTGAGGGAGGACAGGGCTCCTGGGACCACTCAGCCCACTTGCTCCCTCTCAGGGCTTTCCTAAACTGCCCCGTGGGGTGCACAAATGCCACTAGTGCTAAATGAGCTTTACCAGCAACTACCCTTTCAGCTCTATTTTAATGAAATCCACCAGTTCCACAGTACAGGGACTCGCTCCCCTGTGCAGCAAGCAAGTGGAGACCAGTACTCCCAAGGGAGGTGCTTCAGCCCTGGTTCTGCCGACTACAAGATCTCTTCAAGCGGGGCACAAAGCAGCAGCTCACCTTGTAGGAGGTCTTTTTCAGCATGGTGTCACTGCGACAGTTGGAGGTGTTGAACTGCAGTTTGGAGGGATCGTCATTTTTGAACCAGGAGGGCACCAGACCCCAGCGCATGTCCATGAGGACCCGCTCCGAGGAGTCGGCATCCTTTTGAACGAGACAGAGAAAGACCTCAGGTCAGAGCCACGTCACAGGGACCATGAGCATCCCCACAGCTTGAGAGAGGGGCTGTGGGAGGTCCTGTTGAAGCAGCTTCTCCCCCTGCAAGGGGGAATCAGCCAGTATCTCTGCTGAGAGCTGAGCTGGGGCTCACCGCCCCTCCAGCACTAACTCTGCCTCAGTTCTCCTGCAGGGATGCCCCTCACAAGCCGTGCAGAAACAGCCACTGATTATAACCCTCTGCATACCTTTAACAACTTTCCTGTAAGAATTAATACTCAGCAGAAAGCATAAGAATATTTTGCAGGAATAAATAACTGTCTCACTGAAGCTCACGTGACAACTCTCTGGAAGAATTAACACAGGTTGTTTTCAGTGGAAGTGGCTGGAGACATGAACTCCCCAGCTCTTGAGTAAACAGCCATGTCAGGCTGGTGTCACAATCCTCAAAACACCCCTGGTGACAGTGGACATCCCAAACAGGGTAAAAGCCTCACCTTCATTTTAATAACGTGATTTCTGCCGACCTGGTGCACTTCCACTCATGTTTTGCATATTACCTGCCTTAGGACAATGGAAACGGCTTGTGGTTTTCGGTTCTCCCACAGCTCACTCTCGCTTTCTGCCCACACGTGCCAGTCCAGGCAGCGCCTGCTGGGGCGAGTGGGGCCCCAGGGAGCACTCATGTGCTCCCATGGGACTGCAGCACATACACACACATATACACCTGCCACAGGTGTGTGCATGCAGGGACGTGTATGTGCCCAGTTTTGTGAGGTCTTTCAGAGCCTCCTTCAGAACAGGAGCGGCAAAAAGGAACACCCTACACCGCACCAGCATCCCAACAACTTGAACAGCGATGGACAACCAAGCAGGTGTCTGCCTGTGTCCTGTATCATGTTCCCAGACTCGTACTCCTCTGCTGCATCAGCTTATTGCCTGCTCTCTGGGGGATATGGGACCCCCAAGGCAGGAAAGGAGGGTATGAAGGATGCCTGATGGCACTTCAGAGCGGTCCCACCGAGGTGTCCCACCGAGGTGTTACCCTGTGCTGGTAACAGCTGCAAAGTGCAGCAGCCCCTTCTGCTGCCCCGCCAGCTGGGGAGGGAGAGCAGAGGGGGTTCAGAGCAGAGTGTTTCGATTTAGCACACCCTGTTTCACCCCACTGAACGCCAAAGAGCAGCAGTTGGCCGGGCACCCTCTTATGTGGAACCAAATGAGCTGCTCAAAGAGTCGTACAGGCTGCCCAGGTTGTCTGGGGGAGGTCGGGTGAGGCTTAAATTAGCCAGGATAACGGTCACCACAGGTGTGCAGCTACTGTACAGCTCTGAAGCTGAGATTTTTTTTCTTTTTTTTTTTTTCTACTCTCCCCTACCATCAATGTGACCTGGGCACATGCAGCAGTGTTATGAAATGCAAACAAACAAAAAAAAGCCTCAGGAAAGCCGATTAAAATCAGCAGAGAAATTATAGGCATTTGGAAAAAAACCCCACAAACCTCTACTATGGTTAAGCACTCATATACACATTTCTGCAGAAAACATAAACAACATGCTGGAAGCACGGTACCGATTCCCCCCCTCCTTCGGAACACGTAAATAATGAGACATTTTTTCAATTAGAAAATGCAATACCTGCCACGTACAGAGAGCAAAGCGAAACCAAACAAGCCGCGGCCGCTCTGGCCGGTTCCTACACCCTCTCCCCGGGACCCAGCACGGTCCCTTTCCCACCGCTCCGCTTTGAGCCGCAGGATGCCCATCACCCGCCCCTCGCCCCAGATGGCCCCCGCCGAGCCGGGAGGAGGTACCTGGTGGAGGTGGCGGCGGGAGAGCAGCACGGGGCCGCTGGACTGCGGGCCCTTGTTGTAGGAGGGCTGGTACCGCTCCCCCCGCACCCAGTCGGGCTGGCGGCGGCGGCCCCGGCGGTCGCGGTAGGCGCAGGCCCGGCGGAGGTTGTCGGCGGCCAGGGAGCAGGCGGTGCGCCCGCACATCCCGCCGGCTCTGCGGGCCCGGGCACCGCGCTCCGCTCCGGGCCGCCCGCGGGGAGGGGCCGCGCCGGGGGCAGGGCCGGTCCGCGCCGCGGAAACGCCGGTCCCGCCCCCGACACAGCCAGGAAGAGCCACAACACGGTTTTATTGGAACGACACCGGGAGGAGGACACCGGGAGCGGCGGTCAGGGCCGCCCGCCGCGAAACGCTGCGGTGCGGGGACAAAGCGCGGCGTAGGCAGAGCTTAAAAACATGGTGGTTTTATAGACAGAGACCCAAGTACAGCTGTACTGCAGAGAACACAAAAGCTGCTCTAGTGACCGCGATTCCTATTCTGCTGCCGGAGAAAGAAGCGTTGCCCGCGGGGGCTCGGAGTCAGGGCAGTCCTGGAGAGGGGGGTTTATCCGACGGAGGCCATGATCACATCCACGGGCAGCTCCTCCCCGCTGCGGGCCGTGACCTGCATCGTCACCGTGTCGGTCAGGACCAGACGAGACCGCACCAGGAGGTCATGGCCACCCCGGAACACACCTGGGAGGGGAGAGGGGAAGGAAGGGGTGAGAGCGCTGCAGGCTAAAAATGAACACTACTGCTTGGCACGGACAGGTTCCCCACAGGTAGCCTGTCAAATCCCAGCACTGGGCCAGGAGAGACCCTCAAGCAGCATTATTCCCATTCATTATAACATATCTGGGACTCCTGCTACTGTAAAACCCATGAAAGCAAAGTGTAAAATAAACTTCAGGTGAGAAGAGATCCAGACACTCATCCAAGAGCTCCAGTACTGATCCGTTTTGCTGGGCAAGGCTGCTCTATTTCCTGCCCCAGACTAATTCCAAACCAGGATGCCACAGATAACTAAGATAGTAAATTCCACCCAGCTCAGCCTGGGGCTAATCCGACATCCCCCCACCACAGCACCCTCCCTGATCCCAACACCAGCTACTCTACACTGCAGAGACAGAAATCATGGCAGGCAGAAGCCTCCAAATCCAACTTGAATTGCAGTGGGTTCCATCAGAAACTCCTGCCCCGATTCTCAACAGGCAGCTCTGTGTGACCTCCCAAAGAGCTGCTCCTCATGCAGAGAACCTCACTCCACAGCTCACCTGCCAGGTACAGTGTGTGAGAGTTCTTGTTATCTGGCACTTTATCCGACCGCTCACAAGGCTGCATTCCCAGGAACTTCACGATATTGCTAACTGCCTCTGTTAGAAAAAAATAAATAAAAGGGGCTCCATGTCACAGGTATCTTAACAGGGGCACCTAAAGGTGACTCAAGCCTTTCCAACATGTTAGGGTTCGTGCTCATTGTCTTGAGGGACACACAGCATTAGTCAGAAGGGTAGTTTTAGAAGGGAGGCAAAGGCAACACACAAAAAACCCACTGCCATGAGAGAGTTCTGTGATGTAGCAAAGGTGCAACAGAGAAGGTGAAGGAGTCAAACAAGGGCAGTAGGAGAGTGCAGCTGGCTGCACTTACTGCACAGCCCTGACAGTCTGTTCACCTCTCTGGAGAGAGATGCAGAAGGAAGGAAATATCTTGCAGAAGTCACAGGTCTTCAGGAGGAATCTGAAAAGGCCTCAGGGAGGGTATTTCAAACCCCAAGGGGCTGTGCAAGGGAGCACAGAGATGGTTACAGGACAAGGACACCCTCCTAAGGCATCAAAAGCACTGAGTTTTCATAGGCTTCTCAGTGAAAATAGGACTCTTTAATACATGATGAAAGACAAGAGGGCTTACACCACCAGCCTGCCCACCAACCTCATGTCTTCTGCTTTTTGCATTTTTTCTTACTGGCCTCAAGAAGAATGGTGAGAGCCCACAGCTGAACTATGGTCTGTCTGCTTGGGAGGGTAAAGTGTGAAAACAAACCAAGATATTCTCTTGCCTCCCATAATCCTGGTTTCCACTGGGCCTAGAACACTCATTTGTTTTTTTTTGAAACCTGAGCTAATTTGTTATCACAGTAACTGTAGCTCCACATTAAACAGCTCTGGTGAAAAGCTTATGAAGGGTTTTGCCCCATTAGCTTTTCTGTGAGAGCTCTAAAGTGAGCCAGATTGGGCCTCCAGACTCTGCCACTGGAGGGAACAGTACAAGCTCTGCTGTGCTCAGACACCCCCTTCCTTACCTTCAAGGGTTTTAATAGCAGATAAAGTAAAGGTCTCTTCCTTTTCAAACTCGTCACCCACTTCATCCCAGGCTGCTCCAAAGTTTGGCTTCAGAACTCGCTGGATGTGATCAGCCACTGTTACCTCCAGGTCTTCAAGCTGGTGGTAGAAGAGGTTCAAGTGAAACATGGTTGTTCTTGACCCTGTTCTCCACAAAGTGAACCTTAGACTGGATTCCCTGAGATCAGGTGAAGGCAGGAGACTGCCTCCACTTCCACTTCTGGTTTGCTTGAGCAAACACCGCTTGTTTGAGCAACTGCTAGGCCTGAGAAAGGCCCTGGTGATGCTCTTTCCAGGGCTTACAAATCAGGTTCTCCCTCTGAGCACAGCCCTCGGCCTGACAGAGATCAAAGCCCTGGACAAACAGCCAAAACAGAAGGAAACCCAAAAGCTTAGAAATAGCTGCTTGTGCTCACACAGATGCAGCATTTTCCCCTGAAATGCACATAAGCTTGTGTTTTGCTTTTCTGGCTTATCGTTTTGTAGGTTGGTAGTGAGACACTGTCAGACTGCTATCACCTAATACTGGCACTGGGGTAGCTGAGCTGCTGCTGTGACTACACCTGTGCAAGGCAGAACTGGGCTTGTCCCTCCAGAGTGCATATTGAAGGGCAGGCAGTGCCAGAGCTGGCTGCACACCAGCCTGCATTCATTTCAGCAATCGCTGCAGGAAAGAATCTCCTCCTGATTCCAGTTGAAACACATGGAAGATTTTGTTTAAATATCACTTGGTGACTTGGTGAGTGGTGGGAAGCTGAGAGAGGGGTTAACCTTGCACATTCCATTGAGAAAAACCCTCCCCACTCCTGCTGGGAAGACAGTGACTCACTGCACAGCAGTGCCTCTAATCAGATTCACAGCAGTGACAGGCAATGCATAGAAAACAGTCTCTGGAGCTAACAGGGCAAGCTGAGGCTGTGTACAACATCCCTTCCTCTTTGAGGAAGAGAGATGCTTCTGCAGCATTGATGCTTTCAGCAATCTCACTGCTGGGGAGTGAAAGCCCCACGTTCCCCAGAAAAACGACAAGGATGGCAACTTTCCTGTACCAGGCAAGCCTCTAGACAATTAACTGTGCCACCATGGGAGCAATTCATGGAGAACAAAAGATGCCCAACAGCCCTCTGTCTCCACAACCCTGAGTGTGCCATTGCTGCAGTCCATAGGGCACAGCCAGCCAAACCTGGGGGATGCACTGTGGCCCCCAAAACTACATATCCTGCAGTCAGGTGTCCATCTGGAGAGCAATAGGAGAATACTCCAAATGAGACAAGGCAAGCTCTGCAAACCCCCATCTGCATCCTTGGACAGATACCAGAGACAGCAAGAACTCTCTCCTCACGTGATGCTACCCACATCAGTGTCAGTGGTCACATCATTGCTTGCAGGAGTCCAAGTTCAGATCACAAACCCCTCAAAAGGACAGGAGTTTCCATGACCAGGTACATGCCCAGCTCCTTACCACATACTCATCCTCGTAACCCTCGTCGTCTGTCTCCCCCGTGTTTGGGTCACAGTCCTTGACAGTGAACTTCATCATGCAGCTGAAGGTACAGGCCACTGGAGGCAGGGAGACAAAGGCAAAACCACAGTTGCCACCACATCCCCATAACTCTGCAGAAGGGGCTGGGAGGTTTGGGGCAGCCAGGTTCTCCCTGTCACTGTCAGCAGCACAGGTTTAGCCAGTGACCTAGAAAGGGCTCTCCAACAGTTTCTGTCTCTCATGCACAAGGTATTTATTTGTATATTAAGGCTAGCACACAGTGATAAAGACAGGCTCATGATGGTTCTACGAGACGATAATCCCCAGATCAAGTGCTATTACTGATGAACCTCATGTTGTTTTGGGAATACTAACTAAACATGTCCCACCAGCACATTGTGAAGAGGCAGGATCCGCATCTAGGGATGGGTTCACGCGCCTCTGAAATGAAACCACCTTGCACTGCAATGCTGCAGCTGATTAATACCACTGAGCTGGGATGGGAGAGGAAGCGATGACTCATTCCTAGGAACTGGGTACTGCTGAGTGAACAGCAGCAACACACACAGGTGAGCAGTGCTAGAGCACAAAGCAGGGAGACCAAAGCACAGGTTCATGTTCCGGACAGTGGCAAATGGGGGGATGTTCAGTTCAAATAGGCATCCCTGAAATTCTAGTGGTTTGTCTGAAATACCCCTTTGCTCCTCAGAGCATTTGGGGACTCAGAGCACTTTATAAGTACCAGCCTCCCCTCATCAAACATAAAGACAGACCGAAAAACATGCCAGAGTGCATGGGAGACAACTCAGCAGAGAGCTGAATGCTCATCTGCCAGCTCTCATAGCCTGACTCGACAGTGCTACAGTGCAGGGGAACCAGGAGAGGAGAAGGGAGGCCTGACAGCCCCCAAACAGCAAACACAAGTCATGCTCAGCATCACTCAGGGCTGCACCCACACAAAGGCTATAAATATCTGGCTAGGATGCACGGTAGGATGTGTGGGGATGAACAGTACAGGAAAAAACAGAGTGCAAACTGTTTACCTGCTGTCGGATCCTCTTCAGACAGTGCCACCAGCGTGTAGCAGGTTCCCGGCTGGTTGTACACCAGGGTTTTGGCAGGTACATAGCCAATGACCTCATACCCCTCTGTTGGCTCCATCTGCACTGTGACATTCTCCAGGATCTGATCGTTCAGGGTATTTGTGCAGTCAAACTAAACAGGGAAGAGGAAGGCAGCAACAGCTTGAAGCTGTTCACTACTCATCTGATAGCAGGCTCAGCTTAGGCAGAGTGGGAGCGTGGTGTCACCTGGTGAACCTCCAGCTCTTTGTGTTTCCACCGTGCTCCTTGCTATCAGCTGGGCAATCACAGAGCAATTTACAGGAGAAACCAAAACCCTGAAGGGGAGTCCTTTTTCCT